TATGCTTTTTGTTACCTGAGTTTCATTCAAATTTCTTGAAATTGAACTTCCTACACTCATCATCTTCTAAGACAAAGGGTTAATTAGAATGAATTCTTGGTTAATTGGGAGCTTTAATGTTAGAATTGACAAATTAGACCATGCAAGCTAAGTTAGAAAGGAATTGAAGGAATTTGGCCTTAAATTCGACATGCATGGCATGAAATTATGACATTATTGTTTACACCTTTCCCAGGTGGAAATAAGAACACTGCCATTTTTCTTTCTAAATCCTCTCAAGGAGAAACATAAGGCACGAAAGGGGAAAGGATTAGAAGGCAATAACATAATCAATAACAAAGAGTTCATTGATAATCACGCTTCCGTTTAACCGTTCATCAATGGATTCAGGTATGTCATTTTGTCTTGATTTCTTGATAATACACATGGTAAATGATCCAAAGTGTAAGGTTTATGTTCTGAAATTTATGTTTACAATATATATTTCATCCTAGCGCGATCAATTTCCTAATTGCAATTACACTTGAATTAAGGTTTGGTTCGGTTTAGTATTTTTTTTTTATAACTCCGTAGAAATTGGATTGTTTTTGGCTTATTTGAACTTTTTTTCTCTTTCAAAATGATTATTTTTAGCACGGTAGAAAACGGGACACAGAAAGGGGATAGAAGGTTCGCATTCTGTTTATGATTATATAGTGTTTGCAGACAAAGAAGAGAGAGGCAGTGAGAATGTAAAGAATTGTGCGAAAACATGGTGGTCTGGTGTAGCTTCTAAAGAAAGAGAGGTAGTGAGCATGTAAAGAGTTTCCAAAAAAAGGCACCTCATTTTCCATATGTTTATACATATATATATATATATATATATATATGAAATAAGATGAAATGCTTCCCTGCTTGGGCTCGTTTTTTTTTTTTTTTTTTTTATTTTGCCCTTTGATTTGAAATTACTTGTTATTAGAGACTTGCACATAGTTTTCTCATTTTGTCCTTTTATTTTGTATCATTTATCAATATTGATAGTACTAATTTGGATAAAGATTTTTTTGTAATTATACAAAAATTCTTGGTCAGTTATGAAACATAAACATTTTGATGGGTGATTCTATTTATATACTACTAATACTCTTAGTACACACCATTACTTAGTACACAAAAAAATTAATTTTTACACTACAACAAATTGTAGAATCGGCGACTAAAGTTTCTTTTTTCGTCGCTGAAAGTAGTAGAATTGGCGACTAAAATGGAATTAGTCGCCAAAATTGGTCACTTTTGCCGACTAAAACAGTTTAGTCGCCGAATACAAGGTTTTTAGCGACTAAAAGGCAGTTTAGTCGCCGAATCTGGGGGTTTTAGCGACTAAAGGTAGTTTAGTCGCCGAATGTGACAGTTTTTGGCTACTAAAATAATTTAGTCGCCAAAAGTGATGGTTTTGGCGACTAAAAAACAGATTGGTCGCCAATTGTAGGTGTTTTGCCGACTAAAAACATATTGGTCGCTGAAAGTGAAGCTTTTTGGCTACCAAAAAAAAATTAGTAGCTAAAAACTGAGTATTGGCGACTAAAATTCAGTTTAGTGGCCAAAAGGTGATGTTTTTGGCGACTAAAAACAGGTTTAGTCGCCAAAAGTGCATATTTTTAATTGGAACTAATTTTTTTAGCGACAAAAAAATCATTAGTAGCCCAAAATAATAGAATTGGCGACTAAATAATGGTTTTAGTCGCCAAAAGTGGCCTAAATTTTTTTTAATAAAAAATTTATTTTTTACATAATTTATATTCAATAAAAATAATTATATTTATATAATTAGTTTTGTATTAATACCGATTAATATACTATATAAATAATATATATTGCATATACATTCATGTGATGTTATAGTGCCATAATGGAGGGAGTGTTTGGTTAAAGGTTTAGAATGTGAAAGGGTTAGTGGTTCGAAACTCAGCAAATGCAAAGAAATAATGTTTTTTTTTTTTTCACGGAATACCTTTGGCGACTAAAATTAGTCGTCGCCAAAAGTGTTGCTTTGGGCGACTAATGACTTTGGTCGACGATTCATGGCTATCGGTGACTAAAATATCAGTCACTGAATGTATAATTTCCGAAAGTGTAATTCACTATTGGCGACCATGACTTTCGTCGCTGAAACACCTGTTTTTGCCGACTAAAATTTGTTTAGTCACCAATACCTCTGCCGACTAAGTACTGGCGACAAAATGGGCGACTAAAACATTCAGTCGCTGAATCTAAAAAATCCACTTTTGGCGACTAAACAGGGACTTTTGGCGACTAAAAATTTAGTCGCCAAAGGTGATTTTTGTTGTAGTGTTAGAGTTTAAAAAGAGTGATGTTATTAGCACCCCATAAATTATGTTAGACCCTCCAATTTTTAACTTTTCTTTTATTACAATAATAATCTCAAATAAAATTACTAAAAATGATATCATTAATTTTGGGACACCCTATCTTACAATTAAACATATACACCGACTACATCATGAATTATGGTTTATGAGAGTATCCACCTCCATCACCACTCATCTATTTTCTCAAAATCTCACATTTAAAACTTATCCACACTTTAAACTTTGAAAACCCTTTGGAAGATGATGAAGAAGAAGAAATGATGGTTTGTGGAGGAGAAGAGAGGGGATTCAAATTCAAGATAGGGTAAAACGGCTTGTAAAGTTCATCTAATTCATCTAAAACTATTGTAGTAGTAGTAGTAGTTGTTTCAAATAAATAAGGAAAAGCACTGAAATCAAAGTCATCATAATCTTGTTGTATAGTAATTGCAGAAGCAAAGCATGTTGCAGATGGGTTGTCTATGGTGAAGTCATTGTTGAATCCTCTAACTACAGCTTGCAAATCCCCATCATCGCCACTGATAAATTCACTCATCATTGAGAATTGATTGTCAAGCCAAACAGAGAATTGGAGAGGAAGAGAAGACAAAACAAGAGGTGCTGACTTTGTTATTAGTGGCTAGAAAATAGAATATAGAGGACAAGTTTGTTCATGTGTA